ATGGTTCAGACTTTTCCAAAATGGGGTAAGGGGAAAACTCCCATCTCAAGCCCAAATCTTAGCAGTTGAGTGCCGATGATTAAACAAGGTACCCAGCAGTGCCCGGCCAGTGAGACTCAATCGGTGGGGTGTGTTTAAGCGGAAATACGCAGCTTGAGCTAGTTATGATCTCCAGGAAACTACTTCCTGCTGCCAAGAAGATGGTTTTCTCTGCTGCTGGTGGCAACCCAGTGGGTGAAGGTGGAGGCAGAGGAATGATAGTGAGACTGATTCTAGTGAGCCTGAGTCTAGTCATGTGCCTCAAGACTAGTGCTCATGCCGAAAGCCAGGATAACCTGGGTCGGTGGGACCCCAGCTACCAGTGTAGAGTCTGCACCCAGATTCTCAAGGAAGGACAGGGTGAAGCGGAGGCTTCAACCAACCTAACCTCAGAGGACTGTAAAAATGGCACAGTAAGCAGGTACTGGTTTTTTAATGGCACTCGATATAGGGCTTGTGTTAAAGAAGGGAAAGAAGTCTGCATCCCGCAGAGGATAGTGTCCAGAGAGAGTAAGTCAAACCATTTAAAACAAAAATGCAGTGTTGAATCTATAAAAATCCCTGTATGCAACAAATGTAACCACACTGTCTGGACTGGGGGAAAAATGGAATCAGTTTTTGTGGGGTATTACCAAGTAAATAAGTTCTGCTACGATAATGAGAAATTAGGAATGTGTGCTATGGGGAGAAAAACTTATTGGGTAGACAAAAACGTAGAGTACGAAAATAAGCTTCCTATAAGAAGAGAACCGGTTATCCTACTCGAGGATCATGATGACCGAACCTGCCTACAGTATGATAAAACCTTTTGTTTCTCCAGGAACAAAGAAGGAGTAGACCCGGAGAGTAAGATCCAGCAAGTTTCTCAGGAATTAAAAAGACAGGAATCAGAAATGAGAAAACGCAGAGTGGAACAGGAAAGATTAAAAACCCTAAGCGAGCAATATGACCAATTAGAAAAGCAATATAATGATTTCTGTCTGCCTACATCAGACAGAAACTTGTTTATAGATCTAATGCAAGAAATAGCCACAGAATTAGGGTTGACGAATTGTTGGATATGTGGAGGACTAAAATCTGCTGAAAAATGGCGTTGGAAAGGAGAAGGGTTAACCCCAGAACAGCTACTAAAATGGGATAATACTAAAATCTCCAAAGTAATACAACAGCCAGAAAGATGGGTCCTGGACAAACGTGTGATTGGAACAATTTGTGTAAGCCAGGAAGGGAAAGAATATACTGAAGTGGTAGGTTATACGCCGTGTATTTCCACCTTGGCATTGAATTCGGATGATAAAAGCCAAAGTTGGCAACCAGAACCTCCCTCAAGAGTAATGGAGCCAAGAAAAGAATGACAAATGCGAATGGAGCGAGAAAATTGGCTATGCTAGAATAAAGTGGCTTAGGCTAACCCCTTCCCATCCACAGAGGAATTAAGAGAATTTTGGAATGGGCCAAGAAATATAAAGAATTGGAAAGCACCCAATGGAATATACTGGATTTGTGGAAAGAAGGCATACAGTGAGCTGCCTTGGAATTGGAAGGGATTGTGCACTCTGGGACTAATCAGGCCAGTTTTCTTCACCTTGCCGCGGTCAGAAAGCAGTTCATTGGTGTTATGAATAAAAAGTTATCTATTTTTGTTTAAGGTTACAGAGCTAAAACCGGTTGGACAGGTTGCTGTTAAATTAGCTTAATTGTTAAGAGTTCTTCTTTAATTGCCCGTCAATGGTTGGTGATTTAGCCATTGTCCTCCCCATGCTTGCCCGGGAGCTACACCTGGACATGGCAGCCCAGGAGAATAGGAGTGGCCTGAGACCACGTATGCAGATGAGGAATGCACTGCTCCAAAATTTTCCGGTTTTCTAGGAAAACCCCTAAAAACAACGAGCCAATATAGAATTAGGGGACCCTAGGTGATGTCTAAGGATGGGCGCGAAGTCCAGTACCTGCTTGGATCCTTTTTGCTTCTCACCCTGACCTGAAACGATGTTCACTGGGGAGGGGACCCGAAGTGTTGGACCGAAAAGTAGGAATCTGCGAATCTCCCGTGAGGACGCAGTCCCCAGCTCTGCCTGCAGACCAGCGGACAGAGCTGCACCACCCTCCTCCTCCGTGCCACTCTTGGGGACAGCGGCGGCGTGGGCGCAACCCGTTGATTTCTCCCCACCTGAGCTGAATCTCTTTAATAAAGGCATTAAAAAGGAGGAAGATCTCCTGCCCATTTATTTGAATCGGGGGCTCCCTTATATGAGACCCTGGACCGTCAAAAGAGGGAGGTAAGAAAGAAATTTCCTGGTTTTGGAGATAGCCAAAAATGGAGGGAGGAAGAATGGCCTGCGGAACACATAACTGAATATTACGGGCCAGCCACTTGGGCTCAGGATGGTAGCTGGGGTTACTGTACCCCAATATACCTCCTGAACAGCCTGATAAGACTCCAGGCAGTGGTAGAAATTGTGTCTAAACACACCACAGACGCCCTCGAGTTATTATCAAAACAACACTCTCAAATGAGGGCATTTGTTTATCAGAATAGGATAGCCCTAGATTATCTGTTGGCAGAAGAGGGGGGAGTCTGTGGAAAGTTTAATGAATCAGAGTGTTGTATTGAAATTGATGACTATGGGGAGACCATCCGAGGTCTCGCGGCTGAAATAAAAAGGGTAGCTCATGTGCCCATCCAAGAATGGAATTCAATCTTAAATGCTTCCTGGTGGGACAATTTGGATAATGGAAGAAGTTAATCTTTTTCATACTCTGTTCCATAGCCAGAGTCATCTTCCTGCCTTGCCTAATTCCTTGCTTTATCCGTTTGATACATTCAGTAGTGCAAGGCTTGCAAATTGCAGCCATGCCAATAGATCCAGAGTGTGCAACAGGGAAAACTAGTCTAGTTCCAAAAATTATGAAATTAGAAGAATGTTAGGAATATAGCTAGTAATTTGTGGAAATAAAGGTTGTATAAAAATATAAGTGTAGAGAATAAACTGTGGAGGGGGGGGGAAGAATCCCTTTTTCCTTCAGGTTGGGAAATCTTGGCCAGATGACGAAACCACAAAGCCACGAAACCCATGGCAGATGGAGATCACGGCATTTGCATCCGAAGAGAACTCCAGCTGCACCCAGGATGAGCATTCAACAGCACCCATGCCCAAAGACGCCAGGTGCTGATGGCCCAGACAAGATGCCTATCTGAGGGGGCCAGATCATCAACAACTTAAATCTGAATGCCAGATTCCGGGAATCAGGGAAGTGCATCATTCTATTCCCAGATGAAGGCTTTGTGCAGCCCAAGCCAGAGGAAGAAACCAACTTGAATATGAAGAACTGAGAAAGAAACAAAGACTTTCTGCCGCAGGCAAAATAAACTGTATAAGAACTGCTGCCTTGAAGCAGTTGGTGTGGACAGGGAGGTCAAAGTACCAGTGGGTCTTTCCTCACGTCCACCCGCATCACTTCCTGGGGGTGATACGCTGTCTGTTTTTGGTGCTGGCTGTCGAGACTGTATTACGGTCGCGCAATAAATTTTATTTTTTATATTTTTATTGAAATTAGCTATTTTTCATTTTTCATTTATAACAAAGAAGATGATCCACACAAGTGGGTGGCAAATGCCCTGGCACAATTCAAGAAACAATTAGATGGTAATGGATTAGAACTTAGAAATTATCAGGAAGTACCTCAAGAAGATTAAAAAGGAGGACTATGTAAGAAATCAGCCTTCTGTATATAGGTTCTCTGGGTGTACAAACATCATAAGAAGCTAAAAATAAAACACGTGGGTATATTTTTAGAAAAGCAGCATGAATTAATGTTTATGAAAAGGGGGAGGGAATTGTTAGGGTATAGTTAGTAATTTGTGCAGATAAAATACAGGCTTCTATAAAGTATATGAACCAAACTGGCTGTACAGAGGGGAGGCTAGGGATTTCATTCTCAGGAAGGTGAAACTGTGGCAGACTGGCAAGGAGATACCAGGACATTTACATACGAAGGAATCCTCCTCTGCACAGGAGATGGTTGTTCATGGAGGCATGTGTCCAGAGACTCCCAGAGATGATGGCCCACAAAGATACCCATCTGAGATAGCAAGGGCCATGAACACCTGCCACCTGAATACAGGATTCCGTGAATCGGGGAGAAGCATTAATCTATTCCTGGAGGAAGGCTTTGTGCAGATCAGGCTGAAGAAAAGAACCAACTTGAATATGAAGAACTCTAAAAAGAGACAAAGGGACTCTACTGGGAGCAAAACAAAGAGTATAAGAACTGCTCCCTTGGAGCAGCCAGCGTGGATGAAGGGGGATTTGGTGCGATAGAGGCCAAATCCATGTTCGTGGCAGACTGGCAAGGAGATACCAGGACATTTACATACGAAGGAATCCTCCTCTGCACAGGAGATGGTCGTTCATGGAGGCATGTGTCCAGAGACTCCCAGAGATGATGGCCCACAAAGATACCCATCTGAGATAGCAAGGGCCATCAACACCTGCCACCTGAATACAGGATTCTGGGAATCGGGGAGAAGCATTAATCTATTCCTGGAGGAAGGCTTTGTGCAGATCAGGCTGAAGAAAAGAACCAACTTGAATATGAAGAACTCCAAAAAGAGACAAAGGGACTCTGCCACGGGTGGAGCAAAGAGTATAAGAACTGCTCCCTCAGAACAGCCATTGTGGACGAAGAGAGATCTGGTGTGATAGAGGCCAAATCCACGTTCACCCAGCCTGTATCCCGGGGGTGTTGCGCTGTCAGTTTGATTGTTGGCTGTCAGGACTGTATCACGGTCATGAATAAATTAGTTTTGTTTTTATTAGAATTGGGCATATTTCATTTTTACCTATAACAAGTGCCATGTAGACTAGCACTCAGAAGGTTTTAACTTTTGGGGATTGCTGAAAAAAGAGCATGATTCATCAGAAGCTGAATCCACAACAGCTGGTTAGGTATTTACCTACCTGCATCACAACTATGACAGATGCTGTGAAGTAAGTGCATTATCAGATCCAGATCCACTTTTTCATCATCAAAACTGTGATGATAAGCTGTCAGTAGTTCTCTGTCCTCTGTACTAAGGTCACTACCACTTTTTTGGACCAGGGAACTTTCATCCAGATTTCCAAATCCAAAGGAAGCACTGCAAAAGAAAAATACACCAGAGTCAAGGCTGCCCCTTCAGGTTTGCATTCAGCAATCAACTCAAACTTAGACCAACACCAACATGACTATCGGTCTTGAATTCTAGTTTTTAAGTGTAGCAGAAGAGAATCACCATACTATTACTGTTCACTGATTTAAATGTTAACCAAACAATGGATGCCACTTAATTTAATAGTATTAACTTTCATTTTCTTAAACTTCATTGAAACACAACCACAAGCAAATGAAAGTATAAAGATACTTCTTGTTTATCTGTTCAAGGAAAAATATTTAAGAGATATGTATTAACCAAAAATTTCCCACTAGTAGAAATTACACTAAGAGAAATTATAGTAAATATAACCTTTATAAACCCTACCTCTACTATGATAATTGTAAGTTAATCAAAAAATCATTCTTGAATGGCCTAATGTACACAGTACTTCTGTAAAATTTAATATGTCTATTGTGTATAAAAATATACAGATAAAAACACATGACAGATTTGTTTCCAAATAAGCATGTGAAAATAATACATAGTACATAGCACATACATACATTCTGTACATACTACAGAATTAGCAAGTTGTGCAAACATAAACAATGTCATACTGAGTATAAACTTTTTTGTTGTTTGTTTTTGAAACATTCCTAGTCTTAAAAAAAAGGTATTGCTCTTCAGTCCAGATTTTACAGCAAGAAAAGCGAAAACCTGTTCTGATTAAAAGAACACAAACCTCAAATTTCTCTTCACTATGCTATACAACGCCTTCTGCAAAACTGTTACAGCTTACCTGTAGGATTCCAACAGATCAACAACCTCTGTCTGTCCAAAGCGCCTAGCCCAGTCCACAGCCATCCTGAAAGAGTTGCACAAGTATTTTTAGTTTTCACTTCAAAAGATGAAACTGAATAGCACATCAGGTGAGGCAACTGACACCAGACTTTTGTACCCATTTCTGTATTGTTATCAGTACTGGAAGTGCTTGAATAGGTGTTAACAGCTATCTGACTTTTAGATAACTACAGTTCTTTGCCACAAATAATGCCAGTTCTACACAGGAGTACCTGCAAAAAAGGAAATGAGGAGGAAGAATGTGCCATTCCTTTAAAAAGCCCACAACAATGTGCAGAGATCAGACCTGCCTATTTGCAGCATCCTTTAAGTCATCTCAGAAAGTCATGCCCCAGGCATTTGGAAAACATTAGGCTATTTAACATCTTTCAGAAGCTGTCCTCCTCACAATGCAGTTCACCGTTTTATCTTTAAACTGCAATCCTTCCCAAGTTTTTCAAATGTTAGCACTGTTATATGTATTTGGGATAATTCATGCTTATGTGATATATATGGGAAATATGTCATGTTTGTAATAAATATTCTTAAAAGCACACACGCCACAGACAGAGAGGCTGCTTCACAGAGTTGTGAAACTGCAGCTGGCAGCAGAAAGAGAAGAATCTAATTAGCAAGCGAAAAGGACTAGCTCTGTGCAGAGAGGGGCCCTTTCTCTGGAATGGTCCGGGAAATACCGGAAGCTGATGAATACTTGATCTAGATAACCAGAGCCATCAGGAGCACCCATCTCAATGCCAAGTTCCAGTAACTTTGTGACTGACATACATCTCTTCCTGGACATGGCATTGTCCAGCTCAACACAGAGAAAAGAAACAACATGAATATGTGAAGCTTTGAAAAGAAGAAAAGAGAGAGACTCTGCCTTGAGCAAGAAAAAGTGGATAAAAACTGACTCTACCAGACTACCTTCATGAACAGAGGGGGAACCAATACGATAGAGATCAGACCAGTGTTCACCAGCGCTGATCCCAGGGTCGACGCTGTCCCTTTGATTGTGGCTATCGAGACTGTATATCGGTCGTGAAATAAATTCTATTTTTATTAACTATTAAATTGGCTTTATCGATTTTTACCTACAACAGCACCAAATATCAGACCCCTGGAATCCTAATTCTTATCATTCCATACTACAATTATTTACTGTACTTCCGTGTTTATATGAAGACATACTTCATGGCCACAAAACTTGAGTTTTTACAGATTCACAAATATTTTTACATGCTACAACAGATTTAGAAACATAACAGAAAGATCTTTTGATATAGGTAACTCCATGAAAATAAGAACTGCCAAACATTTTGGCCCAAGTCAGTAGATTACAGTTGTTCTGCTAACCAGTGTCTTCGATAACACCTACTGAAACAAAGTTTATAGCTCATAATCAAGACCATGTAATTAAGAATTTAGTTAAGAATTTACAGAAAACAATGTGATTAACAGGAGTTAGAAACTGTTGAGACCGTCAAAATCTATAGTTCTTACAGCAGTGTGATAAGTTAGCAAATTAATCTAGATGTTAAAGAATTTTCTGTCTCTCTCCTATATTGACAAATCAATCTATCTTTTGGTTTCTCTGTTTTTACCAGCCATTAGATGATTTGCAGTGGATACTTGCTCCCATACTGATCAACTGTTCTACATGACTCAAAAAGCCTCTCCCTGAAGAAATCATCAGAGCAGTTGCACCAGTTTCACTGTGCCTATAATCAACTGAGAAGTAAAAACAAAAAAAAAAAAAAAAATCAGCAAACCCAATAGAAATGTTATTTCTTCATCTAAATATGGTACAAATATTGCTTTCAAATTCCAGCCCAAAGAGAATTTGTTTCCTCACTTTATCTCTGCAGTCAGTTCATGTGAATTCCACACTATTTTAGAAACATACTTCTGTCAATACTTCAAAACAACAACCAACTAAACAACTCATTAATTCTGCTAGCCCTATCCATTTTTTCAGTAGGCATCAGAATGCAAAGGTTTGAAACTGGAAATGAAAGTAGCCATAAAAATCTAAAACAATTTGGTTGCTTTTTTCCTATGTAATAACACAAGAAACTTACCACTGACATTTTCAGTTAAAATGAGATTTAACACCTGAGCAAACGCATCAATATCTTTCTGCAACCAGATGTCAGAAAGACAGGAATCCATTTCTTTTACTATCCATGGTTCAAGGCAATTCACATCTTTTTCAGTCTGAAGATAAAAAACAATATTGAAAGATTAATCTCTCCCAAAAGTTCTCTTTATTCTCATACACTACCCACAAATAATTTGCATGGTTATTTTTCCCAGCAGGAACCAAAATCCCAGCACTCAGTTAATGCACTCAGCACTAAGTTAATGCACTGTTTTGTCATATGCAAGTACCAACACAATGGCAGTCAAGCCATTTGATCTGAGGAAAAGTTGTGTACAACCACCATAACAGAAGACACACTTCAGCTACAGCAGTTGATCCCAAAAAAGTAATCTTTAAAATACATTAATATCCTGAAAGACTCTACAGAACTATCTTTAGAAAACAGATTTTAAACGGCTAGTAATACAACACAAATACAAACGTCTCTTCCAAAAAAAGAAGAAACTTACCAGTTGATTAAATACTGTGTCACCACCCTCATCCAACCATTTGTACTCCTCATTTGCTCTTGGAACCGATTTTTGTCTCCGAGATGTCAGTTTGTTAGTGTTTTCTTGAGCTGAACACCACTCAGCGAGAGTGTTCTTCTGTTTCTCTTCTAGAATGCAAAATATTCCCCAGAAAGTTTTAGAGTCATCTTTATTATCCATTGTTTTCTACTAAAGAAGACAATTACAGCAGGGTAAATTTTTACTTATTCAACCTCTTTTATTAAATCTAGAATGCTACTACCAATCCAACACAAATGACATGTTTAAGGGTACCCAAAGTTCACCACTGCAAACAAGGGCTATAAGAACAGGGCAAAACCTACCATTTTGGTGTTTAATCCCCCAAACTCCATTATTCCAAACTACTGCATTCAAAGGATCTTCCTTAAGTAATCACCTTCCACACAAACTCAGCAAAGATCTTTTTCCAGAAATGGAATGCTGAAGACAAGTGATACACTCCCTGCATGTAACAACTTATTTTTGCACACAAGAAACAGTAGAAAACACCAGTGTCTTAACTGACCTTTTCTGTACCCAGTGATAAGAGCTGAGCACTGTGAAAAATATTCAGTTAGGATTTTTTGTTATATATATAGCTTTGGGGTTTGCATTTTTAAAAAAAAAAAATCTTTAAATAATCACTGGGGTCATTACTTTCAGTTGCCAGGAAAACTTCTGAAAACTTAATCAACTGGAAACCAATTATGTTTAGCTCAAGAGTGTTAACATCTATGAAAAATACATCCATGCCTCAAGAAAGCAGGGAAAAATGTTACTAAAGAGAACAACTTCTACATTTTGTGCAAGATGTACAAAATCCTGCCTGCCTGCTTTAATAGCTGCACTTTAATTTACACCCAAAGGTACAGAACATCCTATACTTCTTTAGTATAAATGTGGGTAAAGCCCCCAGTTACATGTAACTCTACACCATAATAATTAGAAAAAATACGACATTCATCAACTGAAAGCAAAAATAATGCAATCACTGAATCAAAGTGATTTTTTTTCTTTAATTGCATAAACTATTTCAATAATATAAATACTGAGAGCTTAAACATACTTGCTGTCATCTAATCACATCTCATTTAATCTCCTGACTTTGGAATTTTAACAGAGAATAATCCTGTCAATTGTTCGTTCAATCAATCAATGATTCTCATTACAACACTCCTTACAATTAAGAAGTCCACCAACCTTGCTCCTTCTCTTTTTTATACTTCACCATCTCTTTGTTTGTATACCCAGTGCTTCGTAAAATGTCCTCCAGAAACATCTCTTTAACTTCAAAAGGTCTCCCTTGGACTAAAAGTATAAAAAATCCATATAAGATTATATGTTCACTAACTTCACTTACAGCATTTATTTTATTTAAAAATTATCTTCACCGGAGTTTACTTTTCTCAAAATTACACAAAACAAAATATTTCCAATGTAAAATGCCACCTTGTTTCTCATCAACCTCTTCAATTTTATCAAGTGTTATAGCAAGAGATGTTCATATAATTGACAGTTATTAAGCACAAATTTTTTTTAAATGAGAAAAAGCAAACAGCCGTTTTTGTTTAGGGTTACAAACAAGAACTCATCATGTAAGCCTGCTACCTGGATTAAAAATGTAACTAATTATTAAGCAATTAATATGGAGACAATACATCTTTGTATTGAACTACTTTCTTTTCATGAGAAGTATGTAAGGAGATAGACTTATTTCCATGTCCTCAACTAATTCAGCAAAGCTGAGCTTTCTTTACTGAGTACTTCTTGACAGATCCCAGTGGCCTTTAAATTCTAATAATTTATCCTGATTTCTTTTTCAACACGACTATTTTCCAGACCTTATTGGTGGACATTAAAGAATGCTATTTGCATGAAGAATTAAAATCTCTACATTTTGACTTCTTGTCCCTTAAGCTGACTTTAGATCACTCAGGATCTTCCTTCAGAAAGAGCAATCCACAATTCGCATACTTTTAGAAGCTGTCACAGAGGAAGTCTTCCAATACTGATCACAAACTCTGTGTACTACAGCAATCCACAACTACAAATGCTGGTTTCTATGGTCAGGATTTTGTCAGCCATACTGCTGAAGGAGAATCAAACCTTTTTCATTACATTAACAGAAACAATCACTTCTTTTAAATCTTCAATTCTCAAACAAAAACAAAACAAAAACAAAACAAACAAAAAAAATCTTCTCAATTGCTATTGGCCTGCTAAATAACCAACATAAGCACTGTGGTAAACTGGAGAGATTGCCATCAGAATTTCCAACATAAATATACCAATCTGAAAGAACAGGAAGCTGCAAAGAGAGTCAACTGGAAAGACACACAACAATCACAACTGACGCAAAAAATATTCAGATAACATGAATTCACATGTAATTTCCAGATTCCTGTCTTCAACAAGTGCAAGCCTTATTTTACTAGGCAGAAATAAAACTGGGAACTAGAAATAAACACTTCTATCTGCAAAAAAAAGGGAAAAAGATGTTTCCTCCTCACAAGAATTTGCTAAAATAAACCAGTAAGCAATCCCGCCCATTTCTAAAACTGCTGAGATTTTGTAAAAAAAGGCTGACATGCAGAGAGTCTGATTGTCAAACAAAGCATTTATCTTAAAAGCTACTTTTCAAAACACATTAAACATGGACATTATTGTTGAAAAAGTAAGAGGACTGAAAGGTGCCAGAGGAGGTCATCCATGCAGAAAACCTGCAAGCCAGGAGGGTGGGGGAAAAAAATCCACACCCACACAACCCTTCCATCTCTCACATATTTATATTTTGCCTCTACTGAAGATTAGTCAAATGAAATTAAAACACAATAATGGTAGCTTTTCTTTTCATTTGAGTGTAACCTAACTGCAGATAACTGAGTCAACACAAACCAAGAAAAACTGGATGCCTTTTCTGACTATTTACCTAGATGAATGGCTACTAATTTTCTTTAAATCAAAGAATCATGTGATTTGAGCATGAAACCCAATCTGCCTAAGCCTGTATTTCTGAACTGAACAGGTACAGTTATGTGTGTTTTATCCAGTAACCAGTAACAATCCTTATGAGACCTGAAGAATAAGAATCTACTGGAGTGTATTAATATATGTCATACTCATGTAGCTCATAAGTCCTGTATCAGCATGAAGACAGCACTTCAATAACCTTTTCCTACTTCTTCAATTAATAGTGGAGGGGGGCAGGACACACCTGCCTTTATAGAACTCCCAGCGACTAAACACTTCACTCTGTATTAGGAAAATAGTTAAGAAACAAGAAACCTGACTACACAAAGAACAAGGATTCCTGTAACTCTCAGTGTATTCATCATGTGCCTTTACTCAAAACAGTTTGCTGTTGTGGTGTGTTTTTTATTAGTAGGTTTATTGTTTGATTTGTAATTTTGGAGTCCTTATGCTGTTTCCTTTTTGTTCCTGCCTTTTCCCAGTATTTTTGTCACTTTCCTTGTTGTTAGTTGCTATTTCTCCAAACTCTATCAGTTTACTGAAACTGTCCTCCTCCCTTAGGATTTTTATTGGTTTATACATTGTGGTTCCCGCCTTGTTTTTTACTCCCAATTCTCCTAATTTGTTAAAGACTGTACTCTCCCCTGAGACCTGTTCCCACATATAAGCTCCTTTCTCCCCTCAGTGTCCCAGGAGGCAGAAGAAGGGGAAGTTTACCATCAAATAAAGTTACCCTGGGACCTGTGTGCAGCCCTGTGTTTTATGATGCGCCGACACTGGCACATGGCATTCAACGGGGCTCGAGGGGGGGAATCTTCCACCCCACCCCCCCCAAAATCATCAGCTAGCTGGGAGGAGGAGCGGCAGTTTGCTACAGTTTAGTAAGATCTGTGAATCTCAGGGCAGGTATACTAAGATTTAAGAATTAAGATAAATACTTACTATGTATTACTGGGCAGCTTCCAAAATACCTAATAAAGAGATTTGCATCTAGAGCAGCACTAGAAATAATTAGTTTTAAATTATTCTGGTTTTGCAGCACATCTCTCAGTTTTATTAGCAAGAAGTCACTGAACCTATCCCTCTCATGTACTTCATCCTATAACAAAAGAAAAAAGGAGAGATTAAAAAAAACCTCACAGATTCAAGATCACAACTTCTGACAAAAACCAACCTTAAGAAAAAAAAAAAAGATTTGGTGGCAGGGACCTTAAAATGTGTAAGTCTAGTTTAAGTAATAGGGTTTGGGTTTTTTTTAAAAAAGCGGGTTTTTTATGCTATCCATAAGCAAAAAAAAGTTTTTATCAGAGCTGAGTGCACTGCAATGCTGAAGCTCTACACACCTTAACTTCAGAGGCCAAAGTGAGTATCTGAAACCTCTAATTTTGCATTTGAAGTCAAATTTCAAGAAAACACCACAAACCACAAATCCTACAAATCTTACTTTAATAAATTCTCACTTCACCACTGATGAGCATTTAAAGAAATGTATGACACCACATAATCAGAAGAACAGACACATTGCTTAGACAAGTCATACACAAAGCCTGTAAATTAAGGCACATACCCGATTAATCACCCTTGTCATTCTTCTATTTTGTTTTGTATTATGAATGAATGAAACAAGGGCTCAAATACAGCTCAAAGGTTTGTAGGCTGATATCAAGCATGTCTAGATCATTGTCATGCTTTTTTCATGCTTTGATAAACAGGTAGGCACCTAAACCTACCATGATTCCTTTTAATCTTCAGTACTTAAATCTTGCCACAAACATTCTAGTTCCCCTTACTTATTAAATTCCACAATAGGGATACTAACATAATCATAAAGAAACACACCTGAATAATTTGCTAGCAACTGGACTCCACACTATCTTGAAAACTCTGGGCAAACAAACTGACTGAAAACCTGGTATTGCTAAAACAAATACATGAAAACAGAAATTCTGACACGATCACACTGAACCATATCAATGTAAGCCTCCCTAAGGATTTTCTGGGGAATGGGAAGTTCAGAAAAATTTACATTTCTGTCCTCCTCAACTCCTTCCGATTCCACAACTAATCACTGGCATGAACATAAGATATTTTTACAGAAAAAACCCGCAAACAGAAAAACACCAAAATGTACAAAACATGCACGCTACTTTAAGGACTCCAAAAATCTTTAAAGTTGATTCAGATTCTACCAAACAAAAACACCTAAAGTGCTCAGCAAATTTAAATTTAAAAAAATGAGGACCTCATTTTCTAAAGCAATACATATTGCTCCACCCCACAAGAAAGACCACAGGATGCTCACCACAATAACATGGGTCACGGTGGAGAGGGTGCTGTCTCCTGCCATCAGCGTGTGAAGGAGCATGTCATTAGTGCAGAATGTCACCAGTGTCTTCGGAGAAACCCTATGGAACACATCACAGAGACAACTCAGGGGGTCTGCACCATTTAAAGGCAGCTAGCTTTCCATGGATCAAAAACTAAAGCAGCTGCTGACCAGAAGAGGAATTACAATTCTCTCCCTAAAACACTCATGCACACCCCTTGTTTTTAAACTATGCCTTTTCCCAGATGTTTCCTAACAATTTGTAGTGTTTCTGCCTCAAAACTCTGGACAATGGATTAATTGATTCAAATTTTAATAAATAAGGAAGTAAAAGAGAACCATGAAGAAACTCTGCATATCATTCACATTACTAGAAAATTCCATGTGGAATACCAGGTTTCAATTCCTCAGCATATGCTTAGATATAGCCTTTGTATTTGACTACACATGGCGGGACGAGCCTGGGTAGATGCCAGGTGCCTACCCAAGCTACTCTATCTGTCCTCTCTATGAGTAGGGGAGAGGAAACACAACAAAAGACTCACAGGGTCAAGAGAAGGACAAGGAGAACGTGGGTCTCTCCCATGGGTGACAGTCCTGCATGAGCTTCTCCAATATGAGTCCCTCCCATGGGTTGCAGTTCTCCATGAACTGCTGCAGCTCAGGTCCCTTTCCACAGAGTGCAATGCTTCAGGAACGGCTTGCTCCACTGTGGGACCCCCACAGGATCACAATTCTGACAGCAAACCTGCTTCTGTGTGGGCTCCCTCCAAGGGGCCACAGGTCCTGCCAAGAGCCTGTTTCAGCATGGATTTCCCAGAGGATCACAACCTCCTTCAAGCATCTACCTGCTCCAACACAGAATCCTGGACAAGGGGATGCCTGCTGCACCACAGACCTCTACAGACTGCAGGGGCACAGCTGCTTCACCACGGGCTGCACCTGGCACCTGGAGAACCTCCTCCCCTCCTGCACTGACCTTCCTGTCTGCAGAGCTGCTTCTCTCACATGCTCTCACTGCTCTTCTTGAATTGCTGCCTCTGTTGTACAGGTTCTCCTCCCCCATTCCCCACTGCCCCAGAGGCACTACCACCATCACAGATGGGCTCAGCCTCAGCCAGAGGCAGGTCTGTTTTGGCTAGCACCAGCTCTGTCAGACATCGGAGAGGCTTCTGGCACCTTCCCACAGAAGCCTCCCCACAGCTCCCAAAGCCTTGCCTTGAGGACACAATACACTACAGACGACTAAATCACAAAGCAATCTGCTGATCCTCTGGTTCTTCAGGAGGTCAAAATACTCAAATGTTAAAATTCTATACCTGGGGCAAGTTAGCTGTCCCAATAAAAACAGCAATTGTCTCTACTTCCTCTGGCACTGCCATCCTAAAGGAGCTGAAGAGTTCCTTTGTACTGTACTCTACAGCTCTTCTCCAGAAGACAGTTAAGAAAACTTTAATTATACTTCTGTGCTACTATACATCTCCACTCCAGATATTTTTTTGTCCACAGCTCAAAATATTATCTCCCCCTTTTAGTGTTTCTCTGGAGTAAATGTCCTGATTCTTCTCAAGATGAATTTTCTGCACTACTTCCAGTAATTCTTCCATTTTGATCTGACTTTGCTCTTCTTCTGCCAGCATAGTACTTCCATTTATTAATCATCCAGCTTATTTGTGATACATCTTCACTAGCTCTTCTAATCTCTTAATAGCCTTGTGAGCTTTCATACACAAATTTGAATTCTTATTGTGGCTTTGCTGTTCAAGCGCGTTTTTCATCAGCTATGTGTCATCTTTGGTCACTCAAGCAACATAACCTTTTCCCATCTTCTGGTCATTCACATCCCAACTGCTGGCCCTTCCCTGAAATGTCACTGCCTATGCAGTACAAGGATGTAAAAACCCCACACACTCCATTCATGCTCTGCTTTACAGACAAATTCATCAAGTGATATTGAAATCTCTACTTTTACATCACTTCATGTCTTAAACACAAAAGCTAAAGCAGATTAAATTTAGCCCAAAACAGACTGATAATAATGCTCAGCTTCATCAGTTACTTTCCAAATTTCTTGTTTTTCCTTTTATGACTTCTATCAAATCACACTACATAACATTTGTCACATCATGCTGGTCTTCACATCCACCTTCAAAGCTTGCAGAATTTTGGATCCACACATGTTAAAAGTAGAGAGGGGGAAAAAAATAGAAAATGTAGACTTGATCTGAAAATCAGACAAGGATTATACATGCATACACTCCGCAGAAGAAATCAATAGAAAGCACTTGAAATTCAGTGAAATTCAAGTGAATTTGCTACTATATGAAACTGCAAAACACAGGAAGAAAGCCATCCTTTTCATCTTAAGAGTGAAAATTATTTACTCTTAATACTCTTAAGAGTATTCCTCATCTGCAATAACATATCCCACCTACAATTTGTGGGGCTGCATCCCAAACATACTACAGTTCAAATGTACACAAGATTTACAATACCAGCACAAGATCAACTCACACTTAGAAATACCACTAGTACCTGCTTTCTAACCGGATCTGGTAACCAATTGTCTGGCCAATCTTCTCTCTTCTTTCTGCTGCCACTCTTTCAGCCACAGCAACAGCCGCTAAACGTCTCGGCTGAGTACAAAACACACGACAGGGAGTTCCATTCTTGTAGCAGTCATCAAGGATAAATTGAGGGATCTGTAAAGAAGTGGTTCAAATTTACTCTTTGAGAAAGTCACAGCTTTGTTAGCACAGGGAAAAAATTTAACTGCATCTCAGTATTACACATTGCATTTTCATTACGATTATCACTGCAAGCATACCTGAATCAGTGGAAAATAAATTTCTAAGCATAACCTATTTAGGTTTTTTTTTTTAAGAAAAAAACTTGCAGTGTCTCTCTCCTGCTTCAGAGAAATCTAGGAAAAAAAAAAAACCAACCTGTAGATAATCTCTCATTTTAACACAAAAAATATATTAGTGTGGGTACTGAGAACAGAAATAGCCTTAGAAGAAAAAGGGCTATACAAATATCACAGTAACTGTCCCTTCAATAGTTTGCATTATTTTAACGAAAAAATTGTAACTATGAGAAAATTGTGAGGAAAAATTGTGAGGAAAAATTTATGCTTTTAGTACCTATCCACTGGCTTAGTGTTTGAATTGGAACACAAGATTTTCAATCATACAGGAAAAGAAAGGCCTTAAAATAGCACAAAAAATTCCCATATCACAAATGTTACACAACTGGCATTAGTTTAATATAAATACTGTTATCTTTTTTATTTCACTGAAGAAACATACTTGTGTAGTTTTTCCTGATCCAGTCTCTCCTATAATCAAAACAATTTTATTGTCCTTTATTATTTGGACAATTTCTTCCTGTTTTTCAAGAACTGGTAGTGACTGCCTGAAGGAATCAAACTCTGATTCCCCTCTTTTCACTGGGACCTGGGGGATACCATCATTAAGTCGACCACTTGTCTTGTTTACTTCTTTGTTTTCTGTGAAGAGAAGTTAAAAGTTTATTTATACAGATATAGAGGAAGGTCACTAAAACACTGCTCAAAAATTGTACTTAAAAATTAATGTTGCTGACTTTTTATACATCCCTGTGGGTAAAGTGACAAACCTATCACACATTTAGAAGTCATATTTATAGCAACATGTCCTCCTGTGGTGCTTGAAATAGGTATTTTTCAAAACAGTTATTACTTTCCTAGGTACTTTGAACAAAACCAGACTCTTCCAGAGTATTCCTCCAAGTCAAAAAAGCCTACAAAGAGCAAAAGGAGAAAGAGAAAATAAACCAGAGAAAACCAGCCACTGTATTTTGGTGGCTTTTGTATCTGCGCCCACATTTCACACCTGCAGTTCTCCCTAGAAATACACACTTACAGAGTTAAACCTTTAAGCTATTCCATGCATTTGCCTGAAATCATACTAATGCAACCACGCTGCATCAAGAGTCCTGGACCCTACACAGCAGTGTGATGTGTTAGAAAGCAGCGCATGAGTAGCGCAAAAACATGCACATGTTCAGAGGGAGCTACTTCAAATCCATCACTGCAAGCGCTACTCTGTAATTCCTTGATAATTATTTTCCAGAATAATGAAAAGCTTGCTGTAGTCTCAATTATACACACGATAACTGTGATTAATAGATTCATATACTAAATTTCAAGCTCTGCTGTACCAAGACAAACACAGACTAAGAGAGCAGTAGAACTAAAAGTACATTCTTGAGAAGCAGATAAAGACAAATATTAGACTGTTTATTAACTTATCCCTTACATTGCTAAGCCATTGCATTTCAGTACTTCTATTATAGCTTCCCTCTGTTCATTAAACAATGCTGTTAAACTGAAACAATTGAAAAAAACAGCAAAGGAAGCACTAAAAGAACAGATACCATGTATCAGAAACACGCAATTAAACAAGGCATATTGGTACCACTGTTTTCTGTCACTACACCCATCTCTGCACACAGAAACACAATGTAACTCTTCCAATTGCAGTTGCTAAAGCAAGAACCTAGACGAAAGCCTTGTTTTAAAAAAAGAAAACAACACAATTATATCAGAAGTTTGTCTTTCAGTGAACTCTTCTGTATTCCAGAAATTAGTCTCTTAAGGATAAAATCTATTTTGTGGAGATGAAAAAATAAAAACTAAGTGTAGGAGTGCGCCCCCTAATGACAGAGTGGCAAAACTAGCCTTTGTCCCCAGAAAGGAAAGAAGCCCACAAGTTTCCCTCAACGATTAGGTGAAAAGTCACCTCATAGGACCTCAGGGACTTCACCAAACACTAGAGGACATCTAATTGGATAGAAGCCAAAAAGTCCTGCCTGACCTATCAGGTAGAAAAAGAAGAGAACAAAAGAGCTAGGGCCTTTTGTGAGATGTTTTTACCAGGATTAGACCTCTGCACCTTGCTCGGGTTTTTCTGTTTGTTATTTTGCCTTTTATTAAACATTTTTGTTTCTCACACTGCAGCAGAAGTCACCTTGTTTATTTATTGTCCCCAAAATAATAGCTCTGCTATCCTTTGGTGTATTATATATTCTTTTGACAGCTTATAAGACCAGGCTCAAGAAAAAGAAATATAATAACTATACTTCTCGATTTATCGAGGACATTTATTTCTATAAGCAGAATACACAACTTCATTTTCTCATAATGGTGTTCTTATGGCATCATGGTAACACTGACTCTTCAATCCCACCTCACAGTACTTGCATGAAGCCACATTTCACAAATGTGCTTCCAAAAAGATTTGGCTGGAACTGGCTCAAAAATTCTAAATTAATACAGGACAAGGTAGACATCACAAGTGTGTGATATGACTTCCCAAGTTCCTCACAACACCAGTTATAAAAGACCTTAAAAGGAAAATTCATGTGTTTGTTTAACCGTGTCTGTTAGGACACAAGAGGGGACAGAACAGAAAGAGGTTTTGTCACTGGGTTGCAGGTGTTTTTTTCAAGTGGTGTTCAGAAGACATGCTGAACATACCAGATTCAACAGCACAGGCATGTCCTCTCTTTGTCCTTGGCAGGAGTTCTGTGCGTTCCTTATTTGTGACAGGAAAGCTCTGAATTAGACTCCGAACAGCGTGCCTCGTACGGAGAGCCAAGTCACAAGTCATGACTGCATGTCCCTCTGATACATCCTTCTTCCTTACAGTCAGGTATCGATTGGCTCCTTTTCTGTAAGGGGGAAAAACATATTTCAGGAATAAGGAACCTACTCTAGGTTAATTTTTATCTGTCCAGGTATGAGACTCTATGCAAAATCTTTGAAAAAAACCAGAAATCACAGTGAGAAGCTCTTTTAATGGAGCCATTAAATCTACCAAGTGGATTAAGTGGAAGTGGAAAAGCAAGTACATGTCACAAGTTTTCCAAGCATACTTGTTTCTGTGTCTACTTTTACACTTTTTTCTCTAATACTGTTCCTTACAACACAGTAGGGTATGTTGGAAACATCAATCAGGTTATCATTAGCCATGAAATTCTATTAGTCTGCACCTAAAAACCAAAAATTGTACCCCAACTCACCCTTTGCTTTTAGATACCAATCCAAGAGACTGACAGAGCCGGTGAACAAATGCTCTTTCACTACTAGTGAAACTAGAAGGAAATTCCATCTCTGGAACGATAAGTAATAATGAAAAACAGTACCAATGCAACTGGCAGTAATCTTGACATATTATCTCGATGTTACAGAACCACAGAATTGTTAGGATTGGAAGGGAGACCACCCAATGCAAGCCCCCTGCCAAGGCAGAGTAACCTGCAGCAGGTGACAGAGGAACACATCCAAGGTTTGGGATGTCTTCAAAGGGGGAAACTCAACGCTTTCCCTGAGCAGCAGCTCAAGTGCTCTGCCACCCTCAATGGAAAGTTCTCCCTCATGTTGAAGTGGAACTTCTTGTGTTTTAATTTATGGCCATTGCTCCTTGTCAAAAAGTCTGCACCACCTTCCTGGGACTCATCTTGAAGACATTTACATGCATTAATAAGATGCCCTCTCAGACTCTTCTAGGCTAAACAGGACCATCTCCCACACCTCTCCTAATAAGAGATGCTCCAACCCCTCATCTCATCTCAGAGGTCTCTGCTGGATCCCCTCCAGTAGCTCCCCGTCTCTGTGCTGAGCTGCGCCTTACTAGGGCCGGGCAGAGGGGCAGGATCCCCGCCCTAACCCGCTGCCAGCGCCCTCCCAACACCCGCAGGCCGCCCCCGGGCCGGGCTGTGCCGCGCACCCGCCTCGTCCCCGCTTCGGAACCGCTCCAGGGCGAGCTGCACCGCCATTTCCACCTCCTCGTCCACGCCGACCTCCCACAGGGCCTCGGCCCGGGCACGCACCGCGGCGGCGGCAATTGAGCCCCCCGCGGCCCCGCCGGGCTGCCGGCGCGGGACCCGCCTGTGTCGCGACATGGCCCCGACAAGGCCCCCACACAGCCCGGGCTCCGGCCCCGACACCAACACGGATCAGGCGCCGCAGCTCGGGGGGCGACGCTAGCGGCGGGGCGGGGCCTGGGTGGAGTCACCCACAGGCGGAATCGCCCCGAACGGAAGGAAATCGGCTCTTTTGCTGCTGTTACGGGGAAAGCCTGCCTGCGTACCGAGGTGTGTATGTGGCTGTGACCAAAAAGGGGCACTGGTACCCTGTCTGGTCATAAATTACATGATTTAATTGCATGGCATTAAACGTAGGCGTGGCGAGGGTCATCTCGGTCCTCAGCCTCCTCACTCTGCAAAGTGTTACTTGCCCTTGATTTGGGATCGTCTTTTCCTGCTGTCCTTCGACTGCACGCTGAGGATACGAGGTAGAAACTAAACTCAAACCTCTTGGGCATGAGACAGGGCTCAGTATTGAAGGCTGCTGCTTTGGAAACATCATTAGGTGAGAAGGAGAGTACTTGGAAGAAGAACAAGCTACTCCTCCTCAGTTGCAAAATGAAGTGGGGAATTAAATAAATAGAAAATAAACACTCACTGTCTGATATAGATGCTGAAGAATGCATCTAGGGAGTGCCCCCCCCGGCTGTCGGCTGCCGTGCCTTCAGCTCAGCCGGCGAGACCTCCTCCCTGCCCGAGGGAGTAGAGAAACTCGGACAGCAGCACAGCAAATAGCTCTTAAGCCACTTCTACCAAAGTGTTTTCAAGGCTCACGTCAGCATAATTCTGCACTGAGAGATCACACTGGAGCGGAACAATTGATCTGTTCTAAGGTTACTTTAAAAATTTTTCAGTTCAGGTGTCTGCCTGTGTGTTTTCAACCAAAGTATATAATGCTAGTTCCTCATTGCTGTTCCTGTGGCATTCAGTACTGCCACCTTAGAGCACATCACAGTTATTATGGAAAAGTAAACACTTCATCTGAATAAGATGAGCATTTCTCTTATCCTTGATATGAACAGTAAAAAATGAGAGCTCCTAACTAATTTGAAAGAGTCACATCAGAAATCTTTAATTATGAACCCAGATCTCTTAACAGCATCATCAGTTTTTGCCTCTTAACAGCATTATCTTGCCTTCCTACAGACAAAAATCCCCATGATGCTGAAAAATTATTCCTCAGGCTCAATTCTGCTGTCAGTTTGCAATCCTGTAAATACAGCAGTGAACAGAGGTAACTAACTGTTGGGTTAGGTCTCATCCATGTGGCTAAGAGTGGAATGAAACCTGAGTGCATCCTGCTTAACAAATTCCTTAATACATACCTTTCTTTGTTCACTGCTTTTTTGACTCTCCAATGCTATTAGAAAGATAAAAAAATAGGAGAGTGTAGTCAGGCATTCACTGCCTGCTGCAGCCCTGCTAAACACTGAGTTGCAGTCTGCACTCAGCATATGAATGAGCAAAGAATTGTGCTTACCCAAGCTCTTAGACATGGAGGTTTTATTCTTTATACGTATTCTCTTAATAAAAATTAGTAGCTGCAGACTTTCATATTAGAAATAACACCTTTAAGTATTTAAAAATTCCGTTTTCATGACTGGCCTCAGAAATGCCTTCTGGCTAATGTTTACTCAAAACAAATAACACCTGGAATAAGAATTATTTCCTTCTATTAACATATGTCCAAATGCCTATGTATTTTTATAAGAAGCATTAAGAGGCAGCACAGTTTTATGCAAAAATACGTCTGTATGTTTAAATACAATTAGGTATTCTTATTTTACCATCCCTAGAGGCACTTTTGCTGACTTCTTTTCAATTTGCAGAACACTTTCTCTCTTGTAAACACCCTTACATTCCACAAAAGATGCCAGTTCTAAGAGAAAAAGAACTGTAAAGGAAGTTGGTGAAATAGTATTGCCTATTATGTACTGTATTAGATTGTGTCAGATTTGGCTGCAAAATAGTCTTTCTAACTAGGTTTTTGTTTGTTTGTAATTTTTTAATGATTTTAAGTGTTATAAGACTCAGTAGCTGTTGAAATATGATGCAAGGATCACTGATACGCCGGTTCTTCAAGACCACGTTAATGAAAGAACACAAGATTTCTTTCTCTTTTCAGTTCCTTGATTACAAAAAAAAAAAAAAAAAAAGGAATTCCAGTATGTAGGGATTTTTTAAGCATCATAGTAAATTTATAACCAGACAGCTGTTGGCTGCTGTGATCTTTAATAATCCCATGAAGTAAGTTACGTATTTATATACATTTAGGGAAGTAAGACTGATGTCAAATTATATTGAGAGATAATTGTGTCATAAATTAACTGCAGTGAAAATGGGCATTTCTTGCTTTACTGCCCTCTACTGTATACACTGATACATTAATAGTTCTCCAAACCTTTGACTGCTGGTCAGGGTGATTGCCCCATTTCTGTAACCTCTCCTATCATCTACTGACACATCATTTCTTATTTATCTGTCTTTTCCACCTCGCCTACTCATTTCAGTTTTTATTTATTTTTGAGACGTCAAGGAAAAAGCCTTTTGATCAGTTCTGTCCTTGTAAAACAACTTCTCTCAGGTCCTCACTTGCCACAGTCCAGAGCTTGAGCTTTTTCTCTACAAATCCATCTCCCACATCGCTGTTGAACTTCAGGGCAAAACTGCAACCCTTCAGTGGAGGTCAAGGCATCCATAGAGTTCAGCAATGAATCCAGAATGAAGGCTAGGAAGAGCATGATTCCCAACAGGGTCAGATATGCCCCAGTTCTTCCCACAGCTTTCTCTACTACTCCTCACTCCTAAACTGATAAACTCTAGTTTCCAGGGTGAGCAAATGACAGAGGACAGGAGGGAGAGTGGAATGATCCTGTGCTAACAGATCTTTCTGCGTCTACGACATGTTATAAAGGCAGCATGAAAACTGCAGGGATCCTGTGTCTTGTGAGCTTAGGAGTGAAGGCAGAAGGATTTCATACCTGTGATTCATGTGCTGGTGTCTTTGCTGAAAGTGGAACCTGATGTGCTCCCTATGGAGATTAATTTATCCAGAATGTAATTTCCTGTTAGAATACTGTTTCAATGAAATATTTTGATAAAAATAATACCAGTTTTGCAGAAATTTTCTGGAGCACAGAACACATTTAACTATTGCGGTCATCGATACCCTGCAGAAAAAAGTTTTGAGGTTACCTCATAGTCACAGTCTGCAAAAAGACCATTTATCTTTACATGTGCCCCAACTTTTTTTTTGAGCAAAGTAGTATTTTGTTAACAGAGATGTAGCTTCAAATAACATACTTTGATACAAAAATAGTGGGAATATTCAATATCTTTGTTTACATCTATATACATGTAAAGAAGAAATGAAGAAATGAACTTCTAACTTTCTGTATCCAAAATGTGGATCCTTATGTAAGATCCAGGAGTAGGAACCTGTTTGAGTAGGAGAGCAGTTTAGGATATTTTTTGGAAAAAGGGGCAAACCTGTTCTTATTTCTATTCATCATTATCACAAAAAAGTACACTTTTCAGAACAGTTTTACAAGATGGTTGAGCATTTATAAAGGTGAAAAATGAGTAGGAAGCTCCTCAAAAGAGGCATTAATATTCTGTCTAAAAATTAATATCCTTTCTAAAATATTTTAAATCCTAGATAAAATATCTCAGTTTTGCAGATCATTCTTGGGAACAGGAGGAGAAAAATCGGCCTCACCAAAAAAAAACCAAGAAAACCCAACTTTCTTTTCTTTCTTTTGAATATACTGTTTTAAGAGTTTTCACACAGCTGTACTTGCTAAAAGTTCCACAGTAAAGGCTGCACAAGACTTATATTTCTAGATGGATCTAAGCATACCCACATTTAGTAGCTTGGTAGACATGCAAATTATGTTATGTGAGTGCCTGGTGGCCAAGCCAGCTCCACTCTGGTCCCATGTCCCAACCTGGCCTTTGTTGTCCCCAGGGAGGTGTCTGATACCCTGGGCTGACCTGGTTGCAATGGCTGGGTGGTCATAGCTACCAGGCCCTGCTGTGCTTCCCAGGCAACTTCTGCAACCTCTGGCTCCCCAGCCTCTTGAGACTTTGATGGTAATATTGATACAACAAGCCATGGATTGGGATCTGACCTGAGCTGCAGAGGATCCAGGTGATTAGAAACTTTAAGTTAAATTGTATTATAAATTCTCCACAATGCTAGTTACAAATTGTACTATGTTGACTCTGCTTTTAGAAATCCTATGTCATTCTAATAATAAATTCTCTTCTATATCAGTCATAACATCCTGTTAAGAAAACAAAGTTTTAATTGTACCTACGGTTTAGTGCCATCCTCACTCTGACAATATCCCCAAGAGAACCCATCTGTATTGGGTGACAGTGTCACTCAGATAACAGTGATATGTCTATTAACCAAGAACCTCATGGAGCAACACGGAACTTTTTAGCAAGTGTGTGAAAAGGGCTGGATGTAGTATTTAGAAAATTGAAAGGGATGGTATTCTGGGCAGTTGGACTTCGGATGCTGAGAAAGTTCTGCATTGCACACTCTGGCTACCTTGCTCAAAGAAATATTACTAAATTAAAACTTTCTGCTTGCAAATTAAGTTACTGTTTGTTTTGTTGCTGGGTTTTGAAAGAGGTTAATTGAAAAATGCTATGGCTGAATATTATCTAGAAGGAAGTTTTCCTCTTTTTTTGGTCAGTTGATTTTGGTCATTTGGCAGCTTTTTATGCAGTGACTTAAGCAGTTTTCTACTGCAACACCATTTATAGATAAATTTGGAGAGGTTTACAGTGCTTTTCTTTTTCTACTGTTCAACATCTAATTTGGGGTAGACTTGACTTTCAGAGATCACATGAACCTAAGTGTCCTGTTGATTTGGTGAAAACTCTGAAAAGTCCAGCATGTCTGCAAATCATGTGTCTCCTGCCCATCTTTCAGAGATGTCAGATTTTGGGTATGTAAATGTTGGAGATTAAATGTAGCTATTAGTGCTACTAGGACTGTTATTAACATTTGCATTGACTATTTGGTATATGCTTGTTTGAATTTAGAAATCAGGGCATT